AAAAATTTAATAAATATGCATTAGATCACTGCTTTGTTCAGACCCATGTTCGTATCAAGTCATCATGTCAATTACATAATCAATTATTTAATTTTAATTTTTTAAAAAATATATATAAGTAATAAATAGTTAATTTGTCTTCTGTAATATAATTTCGAGTCATAATATATGGTCATTTGTTATAAACATTTACTATATGAGTCACAACTTATTTTTTATTTCATAAAATTAATTATATTTACGACAAAAAAGATGAAATTTATTTGGATCAACCGGTTCAGTGAATCAGGTTATTGTACATGTTTATTGGACCAATTTTTTTATCATTTGTAAAAATCACAGAAAAATATGACATAACTTTTGTTGCATCTTGGGTGACCATGTTATGAGTCAAATTGACTGAATTAAATCGATTATTGAAACTGAATACTGATTTCTTAAGAAATATTTGTTCCAATAAATACAATACAATTCAAATAAATAAAGTAAGAATGTTATCATGAGGTAATGAAGATGAATGTTAAGTTATATATTGTGGGAAAGACTACAATCCATTACGGAAATATTTTGTCAAAGTTTTTAACTGTTAGATACACATGTAGATTAGTGGAGGATAAATAATATACTGTTAAAACCTCCCGACGGAATAGTGTCGTAACGAGCTTTCCCTTTAGCTTATAATTCAATTGTTTTATTATTTACCCGTGCATCGCACGGGCCACGTACTAGTAAAATTTTATTTTAGTTTTGTGCATGTGCACGAGATGGAACGCTAATATTAAAAAGATGGGAAAAGGTTACGCCATTTCTTTAACTTAGCCAGTTCTTCTTGGACTTCCGCCGCCAGCGGACATTCGCATCTATGCTGCCAAATCGATGTAATGCTCAAAAGACGGTTCACCCACTAAACAAATGGAAGAATAAAAAGATAAGACTAAAATTTATTAAAAAAAAATTATTGTAATGAAATAACATTAATTAAAATTTAGTAACCAACTTACATAGGCGGTATTAACACGCGTAGAGACCTCGTTCTCGTCCGGCAGCTCCTCGCCCATGAGAGTCGGATGGGAAACCCGACTGTACCACTGCAGGTAATCCTCAGTTGCCTCCCCGCGATCCTGTGTGGTGGGGGTCAACATACCGGTGTTGACCGTCCCAGAAATCGGGAACTGGGTCCAGGCATCTACTGCAGCAGCCTCAGAATGCTCAACCCTGTAGTTCCCAGACTCCCAAGCACGTACTGCACTGATTGGCGGGTATGTAGGGGGAGAGACAGTCTGGACATACCCCAACTGACGCAGACACCGCGCAGGCAAGTACGGCTCGACGACATCGCGGTATCGAATCAATCCGCTGTAAAGAGTCATCGGCTCTATCGCATCTGGGCTGGAGTTGCCGTATGGCAACCATTGCACCTGTTCACAATTGCATAAAAGCATTTATAAAAATAATTATATTATTTTAAATAACGGGTAACTAAATTTAAATAAAATAACTTCACGTACATTGGAGGCAGTGAGTCTGTCGAGGCGCCGACGGATGGCTGTGAGCCGATCGTCTGACCGTTGCGCATTCCCTACGCTCCCACGAGCGTGATCGTGCGAGACAGTCAGGACCGATGGGTAGACGCCCCCGGGGTCGGAAATTGGGGAAATACTCATATATCCAAGACTGCAGAAGAGTCAAGCAGCCCGACATCTGGGCAGAGTCCCTTCGGCTGGCAATACCTAGTTGTCTGTACATGTATGCCAGCGTAGCCGATCCCCATGAGTAACCCCCGATCAAATCCAAGCCGTCGAGCACCTCGTGCAGGAGCTTGGGGGTCACTCTACTACCACTCTTGTCGACGAACAATGTGGTAGCCAGCATCACCCACATCCAGGCACCCGCCTCATCCCTAGCCGGCCGGCCTTTCCCCCTGAATGCCCCCGAAATGGCGGCTTCGGATACCGAACCACGCTGCCAAAACGAACTCATGAGTTCGCCCTTGGTGACCGAAAGTATCGACATGCAGAGCCCATGACAGGCGTCCGAATCCGGGTCCTCAGCGACCACGGCTCCCTCCACAGGAACGTCCAAAATGGCCCGGAAGTCGTGCAGCATGATGCTCATTTCACCAAAAGGCAGGTGAAACGAGTTAGTATCCGGCTGCCATCGCTCCACAAACGCAAAAAGGAGTGGGGTGTCCAAGTGGATGTGCATGGAGTCGGTCAAATGTGACAGCCCGGTCTGGTCGAGAAGAGCTCTCGCATTGGAAGACATCTCTTCACGCCAAGCCTTCAGATTCTCGATCGCTCTCAGTCTGTAGTGGCATTTCAGCGGCCCCCTCAAAATCTCCACTCCACATGCGGGAGGCGACGTGCCCTAGAAAGCTAGGGATGACACTCCCATCAATGGGCCCACCGGGCACTGGGCCTTTAACGATCCAGGGTGCCTCATCATCGGTCCTAGCTCGTTTGCTAGTACCTGCATTAAAATACAACATATCTGTATATATTGACTTGCTAACAGATGCATTAAATAAAATATATTTAATAAAACATATTTCATAAGTTTCCCGTTCTTTTTTTTTTCAATTAATGTACAAACGTTACATTTTACATTAATAAAATATAATGAAAATTTTAAATTAATTTATTATGTAACATTACTACTAATTGATTATAACAATAATAAAAAAAATTATAATAATTTTCGAACTAATTAATTGTATGGTTCCTCTAAATTACAAAATAATTATACCGAAGTTGAGGAGCAGGCCGATAATACTTTTCTAACAGTACCGATAATTTGTTATGATTAAGTGAAAATAATTTATGTTAAACAACAATAAATACGTAAATTATTTACCTGATGAGGATGCAGATGAGCCAAAACGCCCCCCAGCCTGTCGTTGAGGAGCAGCCTGTACCGGACGAACCTGCTGTAGAACCGGCTGTACCGGACGAACAGGCTGTACAGGAGGACGAGGGTGGTTAGGACCCGTAGGCTGTGCGTGGTCCTGATCATTCTGAGGAGTCGTCCGAGTCACACTCCTCTAAACCCTGCTCCCTTTCGCCGTACGACTCATCAGCATACCCCTGCTGACCATAGGGTAATGGTACGCGTGCGAGAGGAGGTATCGACTTCCCTGCGTAGCGTGGAAAAACATATCGCGACTGATCGTACGGTCCTGGTGCCGGGGGCATCGAACTACCTGCCTGGCCAGGATAATAAAATCCATGCTCACCGTACGGGAGGACTCCGTGGAGTCGCGAACTATCTGGCTGGCCCTCAAAATGATATCCCTGCGGACCATCTCGCACTGGTGCGGGGGGTCTCGAACTCTGCCTAGCCTGACGAATCTATACCCTCCGAGCCTCATCGATCATCGCCTGCCTTTCCATGTCCCTCTCCCGACGAACGGACGCATTGACACCCCGACTTCTAGTGTGTCGGGTGCCAGAACCATCATAATATATTCGAACGCCTCGTCGTCGTCCCTGGCATTAGATTGTCCAGGTCTCTGCCAACATCCTGAATCAGAAATATAATATTAAATTTTTCTATATGTAATGACTATTCTAATAACTATTAAAATAGATTATAATTCATTTTTATTTTAATATATAAATTTTATTCATTGTTATTATAATTATAATTGTTGAGATTTATAATAGTTATTATAATTTTTTATTTAAATTATTATAATTAATACTAATTTATAATTATTATTATATTTAATTATAATTATCATTACAAATTATTATTATTATTTCTTATAATATTATTATTATAAGCATTTATAATTTATAATTATTAATATTATTAATATTATTTTTA